TATTCCTAGTGCATAAGAAACTACTTGCTTTGAAATTTGTTCAACCCACTCCCCATATAATCAGTCTCACCTCCCTTTTTCTCCTCTGCCTCCTTTTTGTTTCATAGAACATTTTCTGAGTGTTTCACATGCACATCACTTTACTCAGCCACGTTTCTTCTGGAGAAGCTTCAACTTCTCCATGTGTTGCCTGCCCTCCTCTGCTGATTAGCAGAGCAGAAGTAGTTGCCCTCCTCTGCCAATTAAGACCAATCAGTTTTCACAGACAATCACTATCATTGGACCACCTTATACCCTTACACACCCTCCACACCTTATGCAGAAGGAAAATACCACCACAACTTCGTTAAAGCAAGTATGCTGTTGCTAAAACCTCTGCAGACAGACCTGCAGAAGACAGTTTTGCTAGACACCACTGTTTGTGAGCTGTGTCGGTTAATATATATGGCACGGGGATCATAAGAGTAGTTTACAATGAAATATACAAATAGTGTTGGCAGTCTCGCTGGTGAAGTTTTCCAACAGCTGCCTCTCAGTAGAGCAATACACAAATTTATTGCAAAACCGAATCGGGGCTTCAGTTTGAGTGCTAGACTGTGCCTAGCTCAGAACAGCACAGAAGGCACACTGCATCAGTCAGCACATCGCCCGCCCGTCAGAACGCAGAGCCACTCTGCTGCAGCCCTCCTGTCTCTTGAGCTGCAGCACAGCCTGTGCCACACTTTACCCAATGCAATTCTACCACAGCTGTGATTAGAAGACACACTTTGCTGGTAAAACTGCACGGCTCTCAGCTACAGATCGTGCCTCTTCTCTCACTTATGCTCACAGAAGTGTGACCCAAGTGTGCCCTACCCATTGGCAAAGCAACCTCAGCACGGCCTCGTGTACAGCTCTGCAAGTAAGCAGAACTAAGGACAGCAAACGCTTGGTTCCTCTGTTCTAGTCTATCCAGGTGTGCCTACAGCCTTCTCCACAGTCCTCCACCACAGCGAGAGCTTAAATTAAAGCCTAAAAGGTTGCAAATGAAAGGCATCACAGAGATCCAATTTTTAGGAATTTTCTTGAATGGTAACAGAAGCAAGCGATCCATTTGAGACGTATAATTCTGCTGATGGGGTGGTGCTACTCCCATCTGGTAGAGGTACGTGCTGATAACATTGTTTAGCAGCAGTCTGTGCCCTCACTGCTGCAATGCTAGAGAGCCACCAAACCTTTAAAACCAACTCACTCTCAGTGACACCAACATGACAGGAACAGAGTTTGTAGTGTATATAATAAAGAATGCAAAGTATGCTTAATGAGATACAATCCACACAATGCTCCCCAGTTGCTATGTAAATTGGATGGATCTAGTGGACTGAAGAATATTTCATGAGCTTTGTTTTCAGATATCCTTTCCCAAGATAAGATTGGGCATCTGTCATTCATCTTTTACCTTGCCGAAGAAGTTGGAATAGAAGAAAGCACTTAAAGCATTGCTTTATCCTGCTCATATCAGAAGTAGATCCATCCTTTCTTCCGGATCATTATACAATGTCAGCACCCAGATCTTGCAGGACTGTTTACAGAGCTAAACCTGTCAGATAAAGAGGTGTTTAGCTGGCCTGTTGTTCTGCAGCTCTCAACAACTGGCAGCCCTGCTCGCAGCCAGATCTGCTGCAGGGAGGGGGCCGAAGCCCTGCCAGGCAGGGCAAGCAGCTGATGCCAGGCCCCAAAGCAAAGCCAGCACACGGACTGCATTTACAAGTAGGGACTTCAGACTCAGCTCAATTTCACACTCAGAAGCTAACACGACACGCTCATCATTCACATCTGTCCACCTTTGAAAAGGAAACCTCTCCCACCTGACTCCCCTTCTTTTTGCTGTTCTAATTGACTAGCCTTCTCTACTTTCCCCTAAGCTATCATCCCACATGCTAACACTTTCCAGGTTTCCTAACTTCCCCCTTACTTCCAGAAGACCCTTTTCCAGTTGGTGCTGCTGCAGTCTCACCAGAACAAGAACCATTAGTGCAGGAACAGCCTAGGATCATCTAGTCCAGTCATCAGCCCACCCCCCATTTCAGGTTTTCCTGAAATCTAGGTAGATTACATCTACAGCCTTTCCCTCCTTCACCAGGTAGGACACCTGGTCACAGAAGGCAATGAGCAATCGGCCAAGCAGCAGCTGCCTTTCATGAACCTGTGCAGGCTGGACCTGATCCCCTGGTTGTCTCATACCTGCAATCAAGACTTCCTCAAATCAATTTTTTCTCACATATTCCTTGATAGGTTTCCTATCAAGGATGGGTCAGAAGAACCCATTTTCTTCTGATGAAGGGTCAAGACCCCCTCAATTTCTGATGATCTGAATCATTTCCTCCAGTAACAGGGCAATACTTCGTGCGCACAGGCTGCCACTGCCAAGAACTCAAATTGCTCAGGGTATTCACCAGCACTCTTGGTGGTTCACTCTTGCTCCAGCTCTAGGGCCTTCTGCTGGAAAGCAGGCTCGTCACCACAGGGTGTGAGCAATCAGCACTGCAAATCCCAGCAATTTGGCTCAAACTGAAAGCAGCACATCATTTTGGATCTGGATGTTCCCAGCTCCAGCCCTGATGCATCAGCCAAGATGGAAGCCGTTCCACCCCCCACTGCTGAGTTCAAAAAAAAGATGGCGAGGCCTCCAAATCAGACAGATTTATAATCATGAGGCAGAGCGGGAAGAAAAATTCTCTGCACAGAAAGATTGCTTCTGCAACAGCGAGGCTCTTATGTGGTGGCTCAGATTCTGCAGAACACCCAAACAACTGGCATCTGACAGCTTCACACTAGCATTTCTTCCAAACTCTAATCCTGGATACAGACAATGCTTGTCCTAATTAAGTAATTTAAATGGGGACTTGCATCTTTCCTGTGCGACTCTAGTTCTGAAGCACTGCACTACTGATGAGTGTTTTGCAACTGCCAAGACATGAAAGCGTGTTTGTTATTAACACATCACTATATAATTAGGGGACTTAGCAGGGGGCTGGGTATTCTCATGTTCTTTTTCCTCTGGCACTGACATTGCTAGATGAAAGTCTCTAGGTACCCGTTAGGTGACAAGTGAAAATTAGTTCTGTGGCCAAAACCAAGCAATCTGGCACAATTTAGGAGAGAGATGGTATTTTCTGCTCAAAAAGGCCCCAGAATTGGAACAGCGGGAGGTGTTACAGATCAAGATCGAGATGCGGCGGCCAAGCTGAGCGTGTGTTATGGAGCAGAGAAGCAGTGGGTGCTCAAGTCCAGGACTGAAATATGCTGGCAGAGCTGAGATGGGGAATGCTGCCCAATTTCTGAGCATAGCACAGAGTCTGTATTTTAATTGGAGTTCCTCTGCTCATCTGCGTGGCTCAGTGCAAACTTTCTTCTGAATTTTCCAGGCCACTACTAGGACCCACCCAAAAAGCCTATTTTCCACTTTTTCCCACTCCTCTAGCAGCAAGCAATCGTGCTCATGTACTCTGTTACTGGCTCCCACTAAATGTCACAGGTCAAGCATCAGAAACATCCACAGTAATTCCATGAGTTTGGACAGATTGCTGCTCTAATGAGTTTCAAACTTGGATTAAACAAGGCCTGCAATCAAAGAGAGGAGGGTGTGGGATTTCAGGGGAAGGCTTGATCTCAGAGAACACGCAGACAACACCTGAATAATAGACTTCAGGAAGCCAAGGGAGCGCAGAGACGCAGTAATGCGATGGGAGTGCTGGCTGCCACAGGAGGCAACAGCACTGCAGCCATCTGCAATGCAAATCCTGCCTTGAGCACTACCTAATGTTTATTAGGTGCAGCTAAAGATTCAATCCCAGGCACTAAAGATATGCATGACCGATCCCACCAACAATAAAGGAATTCATCGTTTGAGAAAAACTCCTTCCCGCATTGTGCGCACGCCTACAGTTTAAACTGGCCAAAATAGGTCAAAAGGAATGACTCTATTTAAATATGTAAATTCAACTTAATAAGGAGTAAAAACAATTGCTTGTGAGTTCAAGCTACAAAAAACACTTCTCCACGGTTCCTTTGGGAACCCAAAGCTCTGGCTTTCGCCCCTCCCTGTTATTCCTCTGCTTGCCTATCCTCATCCCCTTTCCTCTCACTTCCTGCCTAATAGGATTCTGGCAAACCCCCATGTCTCAAAACTGAGCCTGTGATCAGAAAAGCAAACTCAGTAAGGTCATTAAGAAGCTCATGCATAAAGGTTTGTGAGCACTGAGTGGCTGCTGAGAGCACATGCTCCGTGTGCAACTCTCCATAGCTAATTTTCAAAAGAAGCATTTGCCTGCTTGTTTGTCTGCCTCCTGCAGACAGTTCCCCCCTCCTCACTTTCTTTTTTTTCTTCCTTTTGCTAAAGGGAACAAATTCAGTTTCCAGTAACTGAAAACTGATTAAAACTGCCTTTGTTGTACACCCCCTCCAAGTCACAAGCAGCTCATACCACAAAACTGTGTCAAGAAAAGGAATTCTTACACAAAGGACTTCATATAACCAGGAAGAAGAAATGCAGAATAACTGTAGAGGTGACATTTTAACTCTGTTTTGAAATCTCCCAACTCTTCCTGTATTAGGAAGTATTCCAGCAAAAGTTCTTAAAATCATTCTGTCACACCTTTAAAATAATACACAGACCTAAATGAGAGATAATTAAACAGGAATTTAATTAATACTTTTCTACCTAATTCTGTGTCACTGCATGAATCCAGCAGCCCTGCGCCCCTCCCCATCACCTCTAATTGAAGTTTGTGGGATGGTGGGCAGCTCGAGGGACAAGACATAGGGTGCTGCATTTTGGTTGGGAGCTGACAGTTTCACCTCTAAATTACCTTTTCCAGGCAAATCTAGATCTGCACTAGGTTAAAACAAGTATGCATCAAAACTGCTTGTTAGCTCTGTGACTGAACAGGTTCAGTAAGGGAACTTTTCTTCTTGCTGTCTTGCAGGAGTCAAGATCATAAAACAGATCTTTCAATTACCTTTGCAGCCTCTTTCAAGTTCACTAACAACACTGGTCACGGAGCCAGAATATCAGCAGTTTGCGGAGACCGAGTAGCAGTGGTTCCTCCCAGGCAGGTTTAATGTGGAAACTGGACCTGTTCTGGGAATAAAAAAAGACAACTTGAGTCTTCAGAGCAGCAATACAGAACACAGCATTAGCATCAGATGAAAAACTAATCACCCCAAATTGGAATCAAGGCTAATTCCCTGACATACTACACTACTGGATGGGTTATCTGCTCACTGTCCAACCCTCTGGTGGCACAGCACTGATCACGGAGTCCCTGAGCTGTGTCAGCACTGCAGGTGCCTTATGGGCACTCTAATTATGATGTTCTGCGACAAGGCTATAAATACACAGGCTCCCACAGGTGAAGACCTGATTGCACTGAGCAGCTAGGGGCTCCTGTGGTGTTGGCTGTGTCCTCCAGCAGCACAGCATTAACCAAGCGCTGCACCTGGGGAGCCCAGGGGCACGGCAGCAAGATGCATACAGCAGCAGGAAAAGGGCCAAAGGGAAAAAGGGTAAACTAGTTAAATGGAAAGTCCTACCGAAAGAACCCCAAAAGCCTTCTGCCGCTCCATCTCCTTTACTGTTTGTTTTGTCAGAGTTCGAGAAAGTGACAGCCATTCACAACACGGAGCTGAGTGAGGGAATTATCAGCCCTCAGCCAACGCAGCTGTCAAACTCCCGCACGTTTCGTCGCAGGCTCACAGCTGACGCTCCTGCCGCTCCAGCAGCCCGGCTCCCCTCACAGCCCCGCTTCCAAGGCGGGCAGCGGTCCGTGCGGAGCTCGGGCAGAGCCGGGGCTGGGGGCTGAGATCGTGAGCTGCGTTACTGAGGAAAAGGCTGAAGAACACGGAGCAGAAATACGGCCCGTGAGCCCATACAGGTGGAGGGCAGCGACGGACGGAGGAGAAAGGGCGGCCTGAGGGAGGCGAAAACGAGCGCAGCTCCATCCTGTGAGGACCGAGCCCTGATGGAGGCGCCGGGACAGCGCTCCCTGGACGCTCCTCGGTCTCCACACCACGGCACTCACGCTCCCTGGGCGGGGGTCGGGCTCCCTCGGGCCCCAGGACACCCCGAAGCCCCGACGGTCGTGAGGGAGCCGCTCCTCCCGCCATTTCCCCTCACGAAGCACCGCAGCGCTCGCGCTCCCCCCTGATTCCCGTAGCTCAGCTACGCCCGCAGCGCAGCCGCACCTCGCCGCGGTACGCAAACGGCGCAGGGAGGGAGCAGCTGCGCGTTTCGCGTAGAGCCCGCCCCGATTCCCGAAGCGGCTTTACGACAGACGGGGCCCGGAGGGGGCGGGGCGACACGGAGGCGGCGTAAGGAGGGCCCCCGCGTCCATCCCTCCCGCCTTCCTCCCCCCTCAGACGTGGCGGGGGAAGGGCCGCGCGATGTGGCAGCGATCTGCGTGCGTGGGCCTGCTGGCCCTGGCGCTGGGCTACCTTTGCCTACTTGGTCCCCCCTCCATCCTACAGCACCTCTCCGCCTCTCTGCTGGGCGGGCTGAGCCGCGCCGGCTCCCTGGAGAGCCGCATGGTAGCGGCCTGGCAGGCGGCCATCGTCCGCCCGGCGCGGGGCTGGGGGCGCGTCGCCGTCGGGTAGGTCGCCGTCGTGTAGGGCGCCGTGCGTGCGCGGGCCTCCAGCGGCAGGCGTGGCACAGCGCTGAGTGGAGCGGGACGGGACGGGATGGGATGGGATGGGATAGGATGAGGCTGCTGCCCGCTGAGGGCCGCTCGGCGGGGCGGGCTGTGCGCTGTGCCTCGGGACGCCTCGCCTCGCTTCGCTGTGTGTGAAATGGTTTCGTGTGCTGACACGGTGACCTGGGGATGGCTGGCGGCGCTGATGGGTGTGAAGGGGCTGGTTGGACAGAGCGAGGCCTTCCAGCAAAGTTAGAGGTGGGGAGAAGAGCGGTGTTACCTGAGTGATAAGCGATAAGAACGTGACAGCAGGTCGAGGGAGGCGATCTGCCCTGTGCTCTGCCCTGCTGAGGCCGCATCTGCAGTGCTGAGTCCGGTTCTGGGCTCCTCAGTTACAAAAATGCAGAGATCTTCTAGAAAGTGTAGCTGTGGGCCATAGAGATGCGTGGGGGCCTGGAGCATCTCCTGTGTGAGGAAAGGCTGAGAGACCTGGGGCTGCTCTGCCTGGAGAAGGCTGAAGGGCAGAAGGCAAGTAGGGCCGGGCTCTTTTTGGTGGTGTGCAACAACAGGACAAGGGGGCACAAAGTTAAACACAGGAAATTCCATACTAACACAAGAAAGAACTTATTGTCAGGTTGACAGAGCACTGGAACAGCCTGCTCAGATAAGTGGCGGAGTCTCCTTCTTTGGAGATACTTATGACATGCCTGGACGCCTGCCTACCTGTGCAACCTGCTTTAGCAGGGGTTGGACTCAATGATCTCTTGAGGTTCCTTCCAGCCCTTACAGTTCTTTGATTCTGTGAGTGGAATCAAAGGGAAGAAATGAGAGAAGGAAGGGGGTAGGAAAGAGCAGTGGGCATTAAAACACCTGTGTGTGCCCGGTGAAGTCCAGCACTCTTTTGACCCTGCAAAGAAAGAGGGTTGGGGAAAGTTTAGGAATGTCACATCGATCTGAAAAGCAGGGTTTAAATCTGACCATTAAATTTGGTATTATATGTAGCACTTGACTCACTTTCTTTTGAATAGAAGGACTTGACAGAATAACTTGTCTTTGACCATGAGGTTCAACCTTCAAGTGTTGAAAGAAGTTATTCAGCATAATGAATGCACAGCTGATACAGTGTTACAGTCTGTCATGCTCTTGAGTTATGGTTGATGCAGACTTTCTGCCCTGAATATGTTGCAGGTAGTTTTTCTTCAAATGTCTCATGCCTTCTACCTTCACTGGAAGAGACAGTTAACTTCAGTTTGTTCCTTGCTTCTTTTCCTTAAAGGGACTGATTGTGTATGTATATATATATATATATATAAAACAGATGCCCACACCAGACACCCAGGGCCTCAAAGTTCACCAGCAGAAGCAGTTCATTAGTAGCTCATTCCTGCTGTTGGGGGAGTTTATTGAAAGCAAGAAGTGTGTTAGCAGAGCAGGGAGAGGGAAGACAGCTGGAAGATGATTAGAAGCGTCTCACTTGAAAGAACTGTTACTTGGTTTAGGTCCCCTCGTGTCTTTAATGATCATTAAAACATGAGATTGCTGACCTTTCTCTGCGGCGAGACTGTGGCTAAAACGCCACTGATGCTCATTGCTTCTTTGCTTTTCTCTGCAAGGCGAGGGGATTTTTCTCTCTTTAGCATATCAGCTGATGCACAGCACAGAGGATTTCTGTTCTAATATGCGTTACAACCTGCACTGAAAACCCTTGAGGTTTTTCATGTCCTTTATTCTGTACGATGCAGCCTTGCTGTGCTTGGGAGCAAGTCATGCATCAAAGGTCACTGACGAGGAGGAATGGCTGTGTGTTCTGAGCTGGCATGCAGCAGGCGGCGGTACTCAAGAGTGTTGTGGACAGATGCTGAGTAGGTTGGAGATATTGGGAAAGCTTTGCAGATCGTTTGGATCCCTGTTGTGGAAGCATGGGATGGAGGAACAGAACCACAGAATTGTAGGGGAAAGCACAGCTAAGAACAGTTCCAGAACCACAGAATGGTTCAATGGTTCCACGTTGGAGGTGGAAGAGACCCTTAGTGGCCATCAGTCCAACCGCCCTCACCCACAGCACATCTGGTGCTCAGAGCCCCCAGCCTGACCTTGGTGTCTGCAGGGACGGGCCATCGCTGCCTCTCTGGGCAACCTGTGCCACTGCCTCACTGCCCTGAGCGTGCAAAACTTCCTTACATCCAGCGAATATCTCCCCTCCTGTAGTTTGAAACCATTTCCCCTTGTCATGTCACAGCAGACCCTGCCTAAGAGTCTGTGCTCTTCTTTCTTACAGCCCCTTTAGATGCTGAAAGGCCACTTCATGTCTCCAGAGCCTTCTCCTCTCAGGGCTGCATGGCCCCAGAAAATGCTATAGTAATTGCTCATGTGAGCTTAGTAAATATGTTGCTTATATCAGTGTCTCTCTGAAACCCAGGAACAGGAACAAGTGCTCATAATCTTGCCCTGAAGTACACTAGTGATGCATGCTAGATGTTTCCTGGGGACCTGGTTCCAGCCCAGAAACTTTCCTGCTCTCTTTGTATTCGATTCACTGTGCTTAAATCGCTGTAGTTTGTAAGGGGTGGGGACTGGAAGGCTTGTGCCACAGGTGTGATTTCATCCAAGTCTGCTAAGTCAGTTCTTATAACTTCCCAACTGGTGCTGGACTCTTCTGTTTGCAAGGAGGAGGTGGGCTATCTGTGCAACTTCAGGATGGTGCTTTGGAAGTTGTGGTCTTTAAGTGTTTCAACTGAAAAGTGTCTCACTTCTTGTAAACAGAGCTGGTCCAGGTATGGGCTGTCATGTAGGTGGTTCTGCTTTTTGTTAGTTGGTAGTTGAAATTTGAGAGGTTGATGGGTAGATTTAAATACTTCCAGCTTTCTTTTTAACAGTTCTGAATTGCCTGCGGGTCTTAATCCAGAACTAAGACAATAAAAATGTCTTTGCTCTAGGAATTAAAACTTAGAAATGCTGTTATTATTGTGCCTGCTCTTTTTTGAGCAAGCCTAGGACAGCAAATGAGGTGTAAAACAAATTAGAACATACACAGCCAGCACTGAAAATAAGCAGCTTATGCTTTCTTGTTGCAATTCACTGGAATTTCAGAGATCCATCTCCTCGGCCCTGTGCTGGAGCACAGTTAAAACACGTCAAGAGGAGAGCACCGAAGTTCAGAACTGCGGGGAACTCGTTTCTCTGTGTTCTTGCTTTTCTCATTTGGTTGGTTGTTTTTTCCTGAGGGCTGCCAGAACTCGCAGCAGACCTCGCTGGCTGGGAAGTGATGTCACTGTATTGTCTCACCAGCGCCCCAGCACACAGTGGTTTCCCAGTACGTGTTTTCCTTCTCTGTTTCAGCGTCAATGCCTGCGTCGACGTGGTTCTGTCCGGCGTGAAGTTGTTGGAGGCACTTGGTCTTAAACCCGGGTTGGGAAAGAATCATGACGTCCTGAACTCCAGACAGGACCTGAGAGAAGCATTCACTCACTTCATGGAGAAAGGAGCGGCTGCCGAACGCTTCTTCAGCGACGCAGAGTCCTTCCATCACATAGCACAGACTGCCTCGCAGCACCCTGGGGCACAGGTACGTCTTGCCCATGAAGATGAGGTCTGAGAAGCTTCTTTCTTATCTTCTGCATCATTGATGACTTCTGTTCTGCCTAGGGAGAGCACGAGTCATTTGGGGAAGAAGCTATGCTATAGCTAAGAACAGAACTCTGCACTGAGTAGCAGGGCTTTGAATAGCCCGTGCTTTGCTTGCATTCTTCAGACCAAAATGTCCATCCAAGATGGCTCTGTATGAATTCTACTGGAGATATTTTCATGTTTCATGGGAGCCAGATGGGGTTGATGATATCAAAGAGGCTCCAAAGTCTTGTAATGAGGCAGAAAGCAAGGAAGGAAATGGATTAAGTGTTAAGAACACTCCAGTTAGCTTCAGCACTTCAATGCAGGGTTCAAATTGTCCCTAGAAGATGAGGTAATGATGAAAAGAAGGAATTAATTTACCTGAAGCCTACCTTCCCAGAAGCAAAGTTCTTTTGCTCTGGTTACACTGGATCTTCTGAACCTACTTGGTACCAGTTAGCTCCTTGTCCCAAATGCAGAAGCAGCTTCCACAGTTCTGCTCACATTGTGTGGGCACAGGTAGCACTTCTAACCCTGCCTGCAAACTGGATGAAATATTGTTGCAACTTTTAAATGACTGCTAGTTTGCTATGCTGATTTAAACAAACAAACAAACCTGAAAACTTGCAGAGGTATGAGAGGGAATGTTTGTTACATATTAATTGATTCGTTAGAGGGTTGTGCTTTACCTGAGGACAAAGACTTAGGTTTAAAAAAAAAGGGAACATGAAATCTGTTGACATCTGGCAGAATTGTAGTTGTTTTGCCATCAGCCCCAGTGAGCTTTGCTGAATTCTCTCATGCTGGGATGTTTGCTGAAATGCTACAATCTTGAGTCTTCTGCAGGTGACTAAGCATGTGTAAAGCTATCAGAGCAAGGCAGTGCCCATACCTGCCCTTGTATTTTACAGCTTTACGTTGGAGGCAATGCTGCTCTCATTGGTCAGAAGCTTGCAGCAAATCCAG